AATATTTGTCCATGTATTTCCTTTACCAAAGCCTTATATTTTCATGGCTTAAAATTATTGCCAAACATCCTTTCATTTCAAACTGAAGACTTCCCCTTAGCATTTCTTGTAGTGCAGTTCTAGTGATAATGAACTCCCTCAGCTTTTGCTTGGGAATATCTTAATTTCTTTATTTTTGAAAGACAGTTTTGCCAAATATAGAATTCTCAGTTGACAATTTTTTCTTTTAGCACTTTAAATATATCATCCCACTGCCTTCTGGCCTCCAGTGTTTCTGCTGAAAAACTGGCTGTTAATCTTATTGAAGATCCCTTGCACATGACGAGTTGCTTCTCTCTTGCTGCTTTCAAGATTCACTTTGGCTTTGGCTTTTGACAGTTTGATTATAATGTGTCTTGATGTGGGTCTCTTTGGGTTTATTACTTGGAATTTATTGAGCTCTCTGATCTGTAGATTCACATATTTCATCAAATTTGGAAAGCTTTCAGCCATTATTTCTTCAAATAATCTCTCTGTTCCTTTCTCTCTTCTGGACTCCCATAAAGGGTATATTGGTCCATTTGGTAGTACCCCACAAGTCTCCAAGTCTTTGCTTTATTCTTTTCTTTCTCCTCTTCAACTTTGATAATTTCAGTTGTCCTGTCCTAAAGTTCATTGACTTTTTTCTTATACCTTCTCAAATCTGCTGTTGAACACCTCTAATGATTTTTTTCAATTCAGTTATTGAATGTTTCAGCTCCAAAATTTCTTTCTTTTTATAATTTCTATTATTTTTGTTGATATTCTCATTTTGTTCATATACTGTTTTCCTGATTTCTTTAGTTCTTTGTCTATTTTTCCCCCTGTAGATCTTTGAATATACTTAAGAGTTTTCCTAAAGCCTTCATCTAGTATGTCTAATGTCCAGGCTTCTCAGGGACAGGTTTTGCCATTTTACTTTCTTCTTTTGCATTGGCCATGTTTCCCGTTTCTTTCTATACCTTGTGAGTTTTTGTTGAAAATCAGTCATCTGAAAAAACAGCCACCTGTTCCAGTCTTTGTAGACTGGTTCTATGGCAGGGAAATCCTTCACTGATTAGCTGGGCATGCTCTGAGCATAGGGAATCAGCCTCACATGGAAGCTTAAGGTCTTCTCAGGTCTTTTCTGAACATGAGTTCTGTCTGTGCCTTACTCAATTCCTCCATATACAATAGCTGCTTTTGAATGTCTTCATTTCCCAAAGAATCTCAACCCAGCTCTCCCTCCAGGCTTTACATCGTTACTGTAGGTCTCCAGCTATGATCTTTTGTTCTAGGCATCTGTAAATCTGGTGTCTCTCTGAAGCCTTCATGAGCAGCGAAGACTTTTCCCCACCTGAGATCTGAGTTAGGCAATACAGAGATCAATCCCTCAGCACCCAGACAGATTAGAACACTACAAATAAGGTCTGTTTTGCCACCTCCAGTTCAAGGGAGGGAACAGGGAACTGAGCTGCTACCTCTTCTAGACCAAATCCTTGCCACACTGGGGAGGGACTGAAGTAAAGGCAAGTAAAAAAGTCATATATAATTATTTTTGTTACATAATGATTAGCTGTTCTTCAAAAACCTTAACTGCTGCATAACTTCATATACAGTATTAATATATCATTATTTAACTATTCCCCTACAGCTGGGACTTAGAGTTGCTTTCAATCATTCATATTAAATATACTAGTATCTTGGATCACTTATACTGAGGCTTGGATATGTTAATCACATCTTCTAATTTGCATTGAGTGTAAGAGTCCCCCAGCAAAGTACTTCAGATATGGTTCAAACATATGGAAAGGACTTTCGAGATGGGGAATGGAAGGCCAGAACAAGCCAAGTTGCAACTTGACTTCTCTTCGGTAGGAATGGAACCCTATAAGGCAAAAATCATATTGTAGAGAGTCTGGTTCTGTGGTAATAAAGGCTGAAGCTAAAACATGAAGTAATACTTGATCTTAGATACATAAATAAGCTAAAGTTATATAGGCAGATAAAGCATATATAAGTACATAAAACACAGAGGTTTCTAAAAGTTGGATTACTGGATCAAGGGATGAAATATTTAAAGATCTTGATACATGTTGTCAAATGGTTTCCTGAAGAATTGCATCTCTAGTAACTTTATCTTGGGAAGGATTACAAGGCTCTGCCCTGTATCTTTTGGGTGTAGGAGGCTATGGTTCCAAGTATATTAGAAGGGCACCATTTCCTCGGAGTTGCCTGAAAACTCAGCTGAGCCAGAGGAAGCTGCCTTCTTAAGAGATCTGGGGGTTGGGGTGCCTGGGTGGCTCAGTTGTTAAGCGTCTGCCTTCGGCTCGGGTCTTGATCCCAGGGTCCTGGGATTGAGCCCCGTATCGGGCTCCCTGCTCAGTGGCAGGCCAGCTTCTCCCTCTCCCACTCCCCCTGCTTGTGTTCCCTCTCTCGCTGTATCTCTGTCAAATAAATAATAAAATTAAATTAAAAAAAAAAGATCTGGGGACTTAGTCATTCATTTAAACAGTCCCCCTGGGCCTGGGTCCCTAGAAGAAAGCTTTTGAACATGATCCTGAGGGGTCCTGTGTGTTCCCCTCAAAGGAGAAACTAACAGAAGCCTCTATTCCTAGTTGATGAAGAACAATGAAGCCAGGTAAGCACAGTCATTTAAATTTGAAACTTAATAATAGTGTTAATGTGGCATAGTTATGCAAAAAAACAGGAGATATATATTCCTGCCATGCTATGCTTTGTCCACAGTATTATAGCACAGTTAATGTTCTTTAGATCCAATTTCTTAATATTTCTTACATATGTTTGAGGGCTGCCCCAAACATCAGTCCATTTTCCTGCTGACCTGACAGAAGGGATCCCCATCTCTATCCCAAAAGGCTGCAGGGAGGGGCGCCTGGGTGGCTCAGTTGGTTAAGCGACTGCCTTCGGCTCAGGTCATGATCCTGGAGTCCCGGGATCGAGTCCCACATCGGGCTCCCTGCTCGGCCGGGGGTCTGCTTCTCTTTCTGACCCTCTTCCCTTTCGTGTTCTCTGTCTCTCATTCTCTCTCTCTCAAATAAATAAATAAAATCTTAAAAAAAAAAAAAAAAGGCTGCAGGGAAATCAGTTCCATTTATGGCCAGCAACACAGCCCCACGTCTACCATCTTCTGGTAATATAAGCCCTGCCAAGCAGCCCCTGCTCCCCATTTCTTCTTGCAGCCTCTGTAACTACAGTCTTCCCTCTTCTCCTCTCAGCCTACTTTCCAGCACCCTCTGTATCAGGCCCCACCATAGATGAACCTTTCTGGTTCACCCAACACATGCACATCTCACCCCCAAAGTGCTTAAGAAGGATGCCTTTCCATACCACTGGGAAACTTGGAACCCAAAGGAGCTGTAGTTGAGCCACCTATTATAGAGGACCCAGAGCTTGTGGGTTAACATGGGATCCTAGCCACTCCAGTCCAATACCTAGCTAGGTAAAACTTCCTGAACCACTACCTTCAGGCATACATCTGAAACACAATCCTTAAAAAATATTCTGGGAACCGGAGTCTACCAAATCCTTAGGACATAAAAATCATTGACCTTACCTTGAACCTTGGATCTAGGTTTACAGATTAGTTGTTTCTTCTGAAATCTTTTATACTCTTGACTGTGGGGAAAATTTTATCAGACCTGGATTCAGGATTTAGGCAGTGTTGTTAGCTTTTTTTTTTTTTTTTTAAGACTTTATTTATTTATTTGACAAAGAGAGTGAGAGAGAGAACAAGCAAGGGGAGCAGTAGAAGGAGAGGAAGAAGCAGGCTCCCTGCCGAGCAGGGAGCCTGATGCAGACTTGATCCCAGGACCCTTGGATCATTACCTGAGCCCAAGGCAGACTCTTAACCACCTGAGCCACCAAGGTGCCCAGTGTTGTTAGCTATTTTTAATGAGCAAAGGGATGGCATTCACATCTTCTTAAGAGTTACACACGAAAGCAGCTTGGTGGTAACTGCCTAGAAAGTGGGGCAAGAATGACAAGGACTACCTTCTAGGGAACAAAAATCAGGGTGCATTCTTTCCATTTCCCCCTAGGCACTTCCTTTTTAGTTTAGGAGGCCACAGTCTCCCCCCCGCCCCCGCGATGGGTGGGCCCTGCCCCCCCCTTCTGGCTTATAAACATCTTTAAGGCAGTACAGGGCATGGTGTCTCCTCTTTCTCCATCTAGAAGACAGTTCATCAGTGACTAGTCAGCTACATTTTACCTACAGGATCTATTCCCAAACTCCCCTCATTTCAGGACCCCAGGAGTGCAGGGCACCCTCAAGGAACTCTGGAGACCTCCACTTGCCGGACCTGTTGTCCCTACAGCTCGCTGCTCCTCCTACCTCACCAGTCCCTCCTGCGACAGAAAACCGCAGAACCCTGGCTAGGACTGACTTCTGGCCCGGAACACAAGCTGAGAAAAGCACCATGGACCGGGGCTCCCCTGTCCCGCCGCCCCGCCCAAGGCTTTTTATCCCGCCCTTTCCGGGACTGACGTCCTGCGCCGACCACAGGCTGAGAAAAGCCCTGCTCCCCAATCCTTAAGGGGCTGCAGTTTTTAGTAGAAGTTGCTACCAAGACAGGAGCCAAGATTCCCAGACGGGAGAAAAACCAGCCGGGGGACCCCTCAGATGGTTGAGCGTCTGCCTTCGGCTCAGGTCATGATCTCAGGGTCCTGGGATCCAGTCCCGCATCGGGCTCCCTGCTCAGCGGGGAGCCTGCTTCTCCCTCTCCTTCTGCTGCCCCTCCTACTTGTGCTCTCTCTCGCTCTATCAAATAAATAAATAAAATCTTAAAAAAAAAAAAAAGAAAGAAAGAAAAGAAAAGAAAAAGAAGAAAGAAAAACCAGCCGGGAAGCCCCCGGGGAGGTGGCGGGGTGTGGGACGGGTTTGTGCTGGTTGCGCCCACCTTTTCCCGGAGCCAGCAGACTAGACCCCAGGGAGATAAGAAGTTGAGGTTTGAATATTTGACAGTGGAGAGGAGCGAACTTACCTGATCGCGCCGCTCAGGGGCTGCCCGCCTCCTCACGAATTGGAGAGCCCGCAGGTTCGCGAGCGAGACTGGGCAGCGCGCTTTAAGGCGGTGCACGCAGCGAATGGCAACGCCCCTCAGTCTCTCCAAACTGCTAAAGATCCTAGTGACTTTAGGTGCTCTACTCAGCTGGCTCAGTCGGAGGATCACGTGACTCTTGATCTGGGGCTTGTAAATTCAAGCCCTAATTTGGGTGTGTAAAGATTACTTAAAAAAAAAAAAAAAAAAAGATGCCCGTGACTATCTCGGAGAGGAGACAGATTTCTCCTTTCCTATTTGCTTATCTGTATTTTCTCTCTCTTTTTTAAAAGATTTTATTTATTTATTTGAGAGAGAGAGAAAGTGAAAGAGAGAGCCTGAGCTGGAGGTGTGGGGGTGGGGGAGAAGCGGACTCCTCACTGAGTAGGGAGCCTAACACTGGGCTCGATCCCAGGACCACATGAGATCATGACCTGAGCCGAAGGCACTGCCTAACCAACTGAGCCACCCAGGCGCACCTTATCTGTATTTTCTACATTCTGTATGGTAAGAAAAAAAGACCAGTTAAAAACAAAGAAAGACATCGGCGAGGCCCGCGCTGTCGTCCCTATCTTTGGTCACTTGCTGAGTGGGCCCGATCATGGCGCAAATTTGCGTGGAGCGCGGGTTCCCTTCCAGCCCTTGGCGCGGCTGTCGCGGAAATTTGCAGAGTCTGCTGTGTGTTCGCCAATCAACGTTACAGGTTTGCCCACCAGCGCGTGCGAAGTGAGCGAGCCTCTGGCTTTAGCACGAGTGTTATTTGCTTCATCACAACTGACGAAGTGTCCGCCTCCTAACGGGATGATTGTACTCGGACCTTTCCAGCTCTACTCGCAATCCCGGAGCAGCAAATACTGTCCCCTCGCCTAAAAGCGCAGTTGCCGCTGGGGACCGGACTAGAGCTGCGGTTAATGCACAGAGAGGACGAAGGGGCAAAGAGCTGGCTGCTCCGCGGGAGGCGTATTCCGGCACACACATCTCTAGAGGTGTAAGGAGCACTTTGGGGCCATCGGAGATGATTAGTCCAAACCCGGCTCCAACGCCGTCTCTGAGGAGATACAGCCCTCCCGCCACTTTGCTTTTCTCACGTCCCCTTTTTATGGTAATTATGGTAATACCTGTTTCTCCAGCTCAACCCGTCCAAGACCTGTCGCCAGAATCCAGCTTCGGAAATGCACGGAAGCCTGGTTTTTTTTATTTATTTATTTATTTATTTATTTATTTATTTATTTATTTATTTATTTATTTATTTTTTAAGATTTTATTTATTTATTTGAGAGAGAGAGACTGAGAGAGAGAGAGTATGAGGGGGGGGGGCGGTCAGAGGGAGAAGCAGACTCCCCGCCAAGCAGGGAGCCCGATGTGGGACTCGATCCCGGGACTCCAGGATCATGACCTGAGCCGAAGGCAGTTGCTTAACCAACTGAGCCACCCAGGCGCCCGGAAGCCTGGTTTTAAAACAGGATCGGCGAGACAGAGAGAGAGGGGTGGGGGGCGGGGGAAGGATAGACAGCGAGAGATGCCGGAGGAACCCTCAACTGCTGAAATCTCCCTACCCTCAACTGCAGACATGTGTTCCAGACGATGCCAATCCCAACCTTCAAGCCACCCCAAGCTGAAAGTGAATGAAGAAGCATAAATAAGCCTCCCCCACTGTGCCCTGTCCTCCTTCCGGACCCTCAGGATACACGAGTATAATGAACGGTTGTTTATGCAACTTGAATTTCGGGATAATTTGTCTTCTCGGACCTCTTTTTGGGGCTGTCTTTTCCCATCAACATTATGTTCCTGAGATTCAGACTCCTCAGTAGAAAGGGCTAGCTAAGGTTTTGAAATCAAGTGTCATCTCCCAGATCCAATTATGTCACAGAGCGTATACGTGCTCTCCTTCTCTAAGTACTTCTCAAATTTAATATTTTTAGACTTTTAAAAAAAGATTTTATTTATTTATTTGACACACACAGAGAGAGAGAGCGAGAGCAGGAACACAAACAGGGGGAGTGGGAGAGGGAGAAGCAGGCTTCCCGCTGAGCAGGGAGCCCGATGCGGGGCTCGATTCCAGGACGCTGGGATCATGACCTGAGCCGAAGGCAGCCCTGATATTTTTAGACTTTTAATTTTTATTGATCATATGGTTTTTAGAATTTTTTGGTTACATGTGCTGCAAATATCTATGGATCAGTTTGGAGACAATGGCTTCTCTATGAGATTACGATTTCTAGTCCATGAACATAATATATCTCCATATTGGGGCTCCTGGGTGGCTCAGCTGTTAAGCGTCTGCGTTTGGCTTAGGTCATGGTTCCAGGGTCCTGGGATCGAGCCCCGCATCGAGCCCCGCATCGAGCCCCGCATCGGGCTCCCTGCTCGGCGAGAAGTCTGCCTCTCCCTCCTCCACTCCCCCTGCTTGTGTTCCTTCTCTCGCTGTGTCTCTCCCCCTGTCAAATAAATAAATAAAATCTTTAAAATATGTATCTACATCTCCATATTTATTTACATTTTCTTCAATGTCTTACAATGAAGTTATATACAATTATCTGTAAGGATCTTGCAGTCATTTGCTAGATATTCTTATATCCTTAATTTTTGAGGCAGTTTTAAATGGTGTCTTTAAAAAATTTCTTGCTACCTGTTCGATAATATAAATACAATTGTTTTCCACTCAGATCTCGGGATCCAACAAATTGACACATTTTCTCATTGTTCTAATAATTTTTCTGCACTTTTTATTTTACCGTAGCCAATCAAATCGCCTTCCTTTCAAAATCTTATGCCCTTTAAAAAAATTTTTTTTGCACAAATGGATTAGCTAAGACCTCTAGGGCAACACTAAATAGAAGTGATGATAGTAGTCACTTTAATTATGTTCTTTACCTTAAGAGGACATCTCTGGTTTTCTGATTTTTTTAACTACGAAAAATGTTTGCTGTATGTTTTTTGTTTGTTTTTTTTTAAAAAGATTTTATTTATTTATTTGACAGAGACAGAGATAGTGAGAGCAGGAACACAAGCAGCGGGAGTGGGAGAGGGAGAGGCAGGCTTCCCCCTCCCTCCTTCCCCCCGCCCCCCTCCCGAGGAGGGTGCCGGATGTGGGACTCCATCCCAGGACTCTGGGATCATGACCTGAGCCACCCAGGCGCCCTTGCTGTATGTTTTTGTTGTAAATCCTCTTTGTCAATTTCCAAAAGCTTGTTAATATTTCTAATTTGTTGAGTTTTTTTTTTTTAATGATTTATTTATTTATTTATTTGACAGAGAGAGAGCACAAGGAGGGGAGTGGCAGGCAGAGGCAGAGGGAGAAGCAGGCTCCCAGCAGAGCAGGGGGAGCCCAATGTGGGACTCTGATCCCAGGACTCCAGGATCATGACCTGAGCAGTTGTTTAATCAACTGAGTCACCCAGGTGCCCTTGCTAAGAGTTTTTATCATGAATGGGTATCAACCTATTTTTTTTTTCAGTGAAATCACTTTTATTTTTATTTTTTCCACATGGATAACTTCATGTCAGCTACAAAAATCATGAAATAAAGAACCAATTTTGAAACTGCAAACTCAAAACCACTGAAGTGATAAGCAGGTTTCCCCCAGAGGATTGTTAGAACAAATAACCAGAATACCATGGATTCATACTTAAGTAGTAAATATGACACATATTTAAAAATAATAAATATAGAACAGCAGAAGAGATACTGTAGCATAGACAGTACAAAGTATATATACATTTTTAAGACAGATGAAATTTCTAGGCAGTTTTAGGCATTAAAGAGGACCCAGAGACATAGGTTAGCATGCACTGCTGTACCAAAATATAATCTAAATAAATTACATTGCTAGCCATACAATTAGACATCACTTACCAGTCAGTTCATTGTGTGTTTAATAATACACATATACATGCTAATCCATATATCATTTATATTTCAAACACATAGGTCTCTCCCTATTTGCCTTTAAATGTTACATGTTGAACTTAAAAAAAAAAGCTAAATAGTTGTGCAAGAAATCCAAGTAACTAGCCCTGCTGAGTACTTTATGCTCTATTTGTGTATGTGTATATCTCTCTCTCTCAGATAAACAATGGGTTTATAGTTAACAATTTTGCTTGTAAGAAAACATCAAACCTAAAGCTGCAAAAACATAATGTTAATGTAGATGAAAATTCACTTGTGTTTACTGAAGGAGTACAGAACTTTATCAAAAGCTTTTTCACCATCTATCTGGATGATTATATGATTTTTCTCTTTTGATCCTTCAATCTGTCATGAATTACACTGATCTTCTAATGCTAGAATCAACATAAATTCCTAATTTAAGCCATCCTAGTCATGATGTATTATCATTTTACATACTGGTGGATTTGGTTTGCTAAAATTTTGTTTAGAATTTTTTCATCTACATATGAGTGATGATAATCTACAGCTAACTCCAATTCCAGTTGGCTGGAACAGTAATGGGATAACCTCAATCCCCCCACCTCCAATTTGGACAGGGGAAGAATGGGAGGGACAGAATAGTCACTGGTCCACAGAAATTCTCAAATCCTTCTGAGCAGAAATTGTGAAGACTTCCTACCTGGGGTAGGGAGTGTTCCCTGATCAATTTTACTCTCAGTAAGTGGTTCCTCCTTCCATTATTCCCTATGGCTCTTGATTTTACCCTCATGGAGTTCCTCCTTTCCCAACATCTTCTTCACATTTAAAGAGGGAATTGAGAACTATGCCCTCCTTGGATGCTGAGCAACTTTCTCAACACACCACTTACCCGCAGAATGGGTCTAATGTCACAAAGAGTCAGAGTTTTTGTTTTTTCAGTCCAGATTATGGCTCTTTGGCAATTTACCTTTATCAAAAACATATTTGTTGTTGTTGTTTGAATCTATTTGGCTCCAATTTACTCCATGTACCAATACCTATAATTCTTTTTGAGTTACACTTCTCTCTGTAGATTTAATTACATGTACCTTGAGCTTAACAGCCTTCCATAGGAGAACCATGCATTCAGGCTCTTTTCTCGAGCTGTTTTGTCCCCTGAAAGAATTTATTTGCTGCCAACTTAATTGATTCAGAGGTTTCGATGAGAGGCTTAATGGCCGCTTCATT